GGGGGGGGGGGGGTACAAATCATACAAGGAAGAACACTTCTTTACATCTCCCTCACTGCAAGATATAAAAGTTTACTTTACAAATTCTTATTTAAACCCTAAGATTACAGTAGGCTTTCTGTGCGTATTCTGCAATTTTTAATCCAGTTTATATGACAGAAATGAACTTTGAAATTTAAAATAAATTCGACTCTACTTTTCATGTCCAGTATTCACTTCGTTAATTAAATTTGATATTTTGTTAACAGTTTTGTATGGAGAAATTTTAAACTAGTCTAGTTTTTACCGATTAAGTGTTTTTGTCTACGTGTACTAAATCTACAGTTTTGAATATATGGTTTATCCTACCTTTATCGTATTTTGTTTTATTATATCTGTGATATTTGATCATGTTTTCTAGTTTTATCTTCCTGTCTTTTCTTAAATCTCCATTGTTTTTTAGTTTTTAAGTTTATCTGGCATGAGTTGGTTGTCCATCTCTAATAAAAAATAATTAAGAGAATATTTTGTTACTGTATGCATTGTACCATTATACATTCTTACAGATTTGTGTACCGTTGAGGTCCATGCTGAATTCTCATTATTTTTTCCCGAAGTTTTGCATCGTATCTTATGAACCAATGTTTAGTTTAATCTTTTGTTCAGTCTATTTCAAAAAAGGGTATTTTTTTCTGTAAAAATTAGTGATGTATTCTTTTCTTTCAAAAACTTTTTAAATCGATAAGAATTTATTCCAGGATGTTGGTCTGCTAAAATTATTCCTATTTTGTTATTTACTAATACCTACTGTATTGTTTTTTTTCAATCGTATACATTTGCTGTCTTTGAAGTTATTATATATGCATTACGAGTAAAACTATTTACTTAAAGATACAAGTATTTTTTTGTCAGTCTTTGGCCTCCAAAACCTCCAATTGTATCAATTAAAACTATTTCAAATGGATATCGAGCTGGACCAAAATGTGACATTAAACCATGTTTATTTGGCCCTCTCAAATTATTTTTTTTGCAGATCTAGCAGTTCCTACGTATTTTCGCTATATTTCTATTCAAATTGCTTGAAATAAATGGTTTGAGCTTGCAATTCCTTTGGTTTAAGCCTATGTGACAAAACTTTCCATGTATTTTTCTTATGTAATTCTTGCTGAAATTTTCTGATAGAATAATCTTTTTGTTTTTTTTCTTATTACTATAGTGTATATTATTTTTCAAAATAAGTAAATTTTTTTGTATTTTATATTTTTATTTTTTTTTGATCCTCTAATGGTTCGTGTAAAGTAATTAAGCTTACAACCTTGAAATTACCATCGTTTTTGTTTCTGCACTCAACGCTGGGTTTCTGCTTAAACAGTCTGCTTTGACCAGTGTTATGGTATTGCATCATGCAAAATAAATTGAAAGAATTCTACATAGCATTTTCTTATAAATTTCATTTTTATGTGACTCCTCCATAAGGTTACGTGTTAAATTGAAGTTTTTTTACCATTCAATATTTCAAAAACGGTGTTGTGAAACGATCATTATTTCAAATAAATTTTACATGTAACTTTCTCACATCATTAAGAGCACCCTGTTGAAATTTCAGGAAGATCGTACGGAAAACACTCTGTGTGATGAACGTCATTAAGTAGTAAGAGTGTTTCGTAAGAAAAATTATTACTTTATAAAATTACCAAACAATTATGATTGCGAAGAAAACTATTAAAAAAGTTCTTAATAATTATTAAACGCTACTTACAGGTTAGTTTAAATAAGATAAACTTTACGATTGTGCTATATTGATTCAGTACCCAAAAGTTTTGAAAAAAAGGAAAAATAAAATAGAAAAAAACTACAATTGGTAAATTGAATACGTTTCTTTGAAGATGTAAGTGCTTTTTTTTTTTAACTTGTGTTAAATGAATGACATGGTGCAACTTTTTACGTTAGAGTCAAATCGTATAACAAATTTCAACACAAAATATTTAAGAATTCTGGAATTACAATGAACTTACAAATAATTGACAAAAAAATGATATTTTACAGAAACCAATTACTGCTATCCTATTTAAAATGATAAAATATGTTATTGACAAAAATGTGAATACAAAAATTATTCAGAAGATGGTTGAGCATAAGGATTAGATGCTTAAGAAAACTAAAAATCAATATTGATTGCTTAAAGAATTGAAAAATTTTTAAAAAATTTTAAAACTATCATTGCGTTAAAATATACCTTAAATAAGTTAAAACTAGCTGAAAATAGGGTATGTTATGATCATAAAAATGGTTAACATTAAACATCACGTCCAATCGCAAAATTTCTAAAACAAAAACCTATGGCTAAATTGTTAATTAAAAATTCTTATTTCTCGTAGGATTGGTAAACGGTATTCGGTCGAAATCTGTTATTTAAGGACTATCAGATGGTATTAATATCTTTAATTTCCTGAAAATCCGATAGAAGCTGAGATAACATTCTTTCAGCTTTTAGCTCACAGCAGGCCATTTGCCTAAAACAGATTTTTTTGTACCAAGTCGTGTAGGGTTATTTTTACCATCTAAACATAGTAAACGTTATAATTTAATTACAGTAGTTAATTCAAGACAAGGTTTGACTGGTAATGTTTTAAGTACTTCGTCAAACTTTCAAAATAAATCACTTTATCAGCAGTACTTATTCTTTAACAAATTTTTAACTAGTTTAACATGTATTGCGATGCATTTTTTTATTTTATTTTTTATTTTTCAGATTGTTTTAGCAGTGAAAACTCAGTTTCTGTTTATACAACATCTTCTCTCTACGCTTAATTATCTTATGAATAACTTTTGTATTTATCATGTTCTCTTTCATAATAAGTAGCTTCTAATTTTCAAGAAAAACAAAAAAAAAAAGAACCGAAAAATAATAAATTTTACCATAAGAAAACCAAGACATATGTCTTCTTTGGAGTCAAGACTTCTAGGTGTTGTTCTTCAAATTTTTTGCCTAATTTTTAGCCTAAAAACATTTTGTTGGGACCAACCATCATGCCAAAAGTGTCTGGCACTGTGACCAGTAGCGAATCAAAGAAGCAAATGAATTTTATTACTTCTCCTTACTAGTTGGGCTATTTATGAGTTGCCTCAACAATTTAATTAATTTAGAACTTCATTTATCTTGTCTTTATAATAATGTAGACATCAAGAGTAAAGATTTTGTAGGTTAAAACTCTTCTTAAAGCTGCACAAAAATTTAAGAAATTCAATTTAGCTCAAAAATCTCAGGTAATCACTAAAGTTTATTGAATTACAGAGAGAATTATGATGTCAATAATTTAAAAGAAAACTATTTTATACAGTGTTTCAACATACTTATATACTGTAGTAAAAACAAACTCTAGAAGCTAGCAGTAAAAAAATAAGGGACAATAAGTGAACAGTATTTAGAGTTTGTAAATAAATAAAGTACTTAAAGAAACTCAGAAACTTGGTCAACTATAGATCAATCAAACAAATTTATCATGGTATGATCAAAAAGCACTCTGATTAGAATAGGAAGAAAACAGAAAGGCTTTTAGCCCTAAATGTTAAGTCTAAGCTCTTAGAAGCAGGCAAAGCTTTTTCTTGATTTTTCCTTTGCTACTATTATTACTGTTGGCAATAAGGGATTAATAACTGTATTTTAAGTATCCATTGCATTATATTGCTATGAATCTTGATGAATAATAACTGTTAAAATTTTCATTGACATACTCAGCTGTCACAAAAGTAATAAAAATAGAAGAACGTACTCTGAGTTAATAAATATACCCTTACGTAGACTATAAGGGTACTTTATAGATTAAAACTTTTCTTTTACCACACTGAACTTTTAACTTCTTTGTTTTGTAGCTTTTCTTACCAAACTTTTTCGATGAGTAATTCCTTCGATTTTTATTAATAAAAAAAAATTAAATAAAATTAATCTGTAAGTGAACTCAAGAGCATATGCATCACATAAAAGCCGATTCTTATATGTCCAACCAAACTGGCCTAGAGATAGAATGGACGTAGAACGAGAAACAGGAAGCCCCGTTGCCGTTGCACTTACTTTCTCTGCTGCTAGCACACTGTCATGATTAATTCAGACGCCACTCTGCTATTAACGGCTGACGAATTAGCAAACTAAGTCAAACTTAGTAACTATGTACTAGTTTAAAACAAATATTTCATAAAAACTAAGATTTAAGTTTATTTTAGTAACGTAAATGTAAAAAGTAATGCAGTGTAATGCATATGCTGGTTGTAAGACTTAAAGTTTTTTTACAGGCTAGGCATAGCTTATTGAATGCTGCATCTCATATTGGGGAGGCATCTCATGAAGTGCTATTTAATATTGGTGAAGAGGGTGTCCTAAAAAAAGAGACACAAGATGTCCTATTATCGTTGGCAAAGACTGTTGCTAATACAACTGCTGTACTAGTGTTAAAGGCGAGAAATATAGCAGCAATTTGTGAAAACTCAGTAACACAAAACCATGTAATATCTGCTGCTACTTATTGTGCTCTTGCTACATCTCAACTAGTAGCTTGCGCAAAAGTTGTTGCACCAACTTTAAATACGCAAGCATGCCAAAATCAATTAATATATGCAGTTAAGGAAGTGACTAAGGCTGTTCAAAATCTTGTGGAGGTACTGTTACATTTTTATTTGTAAAATTACTATACATAATAAACATTTTTATTGAAGCTCATTGTTTAGAAGTTTTAATTGAAATAAAACTAAGTTATACATAAACTGCGAATTGCTCTTCTTATGAGGCATAACTAGAAAAATTTGAGAATATTTTTATCGAAAAATCAATCAAAATTTATTATTTAATAGTTTGGGTTGTAATTTGTTACTGAGAAGGCCCAATGATATCTTTACAATGCAGAGAAAGCAAAAAAATGTTCATCAAATAGTATTTAAGAGTCAGAAAACTAAGGATTTTTCTATATTACTTAATAACAATTATTTTGTAAATAAGAAACAAATCCTAATTCGCTTATGGCCTCTATGAAATTGTGTCAACAGTTGAAATTTCATGTATAAGAAGATTTTTGTTTACAAATATTTTAAAAGCTCAAACAGTTTCCAGAGGCTTCTTGTCAAATTTTTTTTCGTTAAACCTTCTTAAACAACTTGGATTCCCAAGTTCAGTTTAGAATTTAAAACTTAATTAAGTACTTTTTTTATTTTAGGATAAAATTCTAGAATTAGCAGAAATCTGACTTAAAAAAATAAATAATCAATCACCTTGATGCATACCTACTGTCTTAGTAGTATGCTGACATTTAAAATGTATTTTTAAAAAGAGTACAAATGACTTTTTTTTCACTTAAATGTAACGTGTTAGATACGTTACAGATGACATGTGAAATACAAAGATAAGTTATTAGCATTCTGATTAGTACTACTGTCAAATTTGATTTTTGTATCGTTAAAGGCCGTAGCATTCAAGAAATTCATGTTCTTATTACAAAAAATAAAAAAAACTTTGAAGAAAATAATTAGTTTTTCAAATTTATTTTTAGTAATAAAGAAATTATAATTTTACAAAAAAATACATTGAATTTTAGATATTTTTTTGTTTTTGTCCAAACAGACAAAGATAATATTTAAACACCATTTCAACAAAGCTTTAAAATCTTAATTTTTTTTTGACAACTACTATTTTTAAAGAAAAATAAAAACATTTTGTATTCATGTTTGGTCTATCAGATTTAAAATCAATTTTGTGTACGGATCAACACATAAATTTTAGACATTATTATCTTACCTTTCACAATATATATACTGCTTTATATAGCGGATTGTAATACGAAATATTCATATGCAATACGCGTTACTTTTTAAAGTATCAAATCATATGACTCATAATTTAAGACTAAAAAAAAGTATTTACTCTAAAACACACGACTTTTTTGAGACAGAGTATTGGAGGTTATCGCGCAAAACACGCAGTGGGTCAAAGCCACACTAGTACACATCTGTATATTGATTATTTAAAAACAAATAAGAATTTAAAATATTTTTTTAAATGATACGTCAAAGAAAACATGTAATTTTAGTTATTAATGGTCCTGGAGGTGAACGTATAACATTATTACATTAAGAAATTATGTACTACTTTCTCATGGCGAAAAAAGCATAGTTATAACATAGGCAGGTAAACCGTATGTTTTACTTCCAAGAGGGATGCTAAGTTAAAAATTTTATTTAATCAAGATATATTTTCCTATTCATAGTATTTATACTTTTTACATGTTACACAAAGAAATGACATTCATTGTTAATTAATTCCTGTTTTTCGTTTCTATTAAGAGTATCACTATCAATAGATTAACAGCACCCTGTACAACATGCTTAGATCATTTCTTTCCGAAAGTTTCTCTTATACTAATTTTCAGGCTTTTCCTTTTACTAATGCCGTTGTAGTATTTAAAAAAAAATTTAAATTATCAACGCTTGCATTAACGGGGGGGGGGNAGAATTTTATTAATATTATTTTCATTTAGATTCCTTGTGTAAGAAACCTTTTAGTTTTTTCTAATTACAGGTATTTGTTTATTGATCTACTTATCACATTCATGTCTTTGCTTATATCACATTTCTTATATTCAAAAACAGCCCTTAACTTTTCAACATAACTAATCTTTCAATCAGTGCTCTTGGTTCTATTTTAAATGTGCATTTTCGCAATTTCTTTATAGTACATGCACTGATTTTCAGCGCTAGACTTAGACTAGTTGTAACTAGACTAATTTCTACATCTTAAAAAGAGTTTTATTCTTAGTATCTGTTGAGATATTTGTTATTTTACCTTCTTTTTAGAAATTTTTTTAAAGAACATTCCATACAAAAAACTTATTTCTTTCAAAGTCATTACTACTTCTTTTTCGTTACATACGTTTGTAAAAAAAATTCTTGTCGTGAATGCTGATCAACTCATGTAGAACAATATTTTTTTCTTGAGTAATTTATGTTTAAATTTGTGGCTGCGTCCTTACATTTTTTTTGTATCTGGTTCTCTCAAAAAGTACCTTAGTCTTAGCTTGGTTGTTCTTTTAGTAATTGCATATTTCTTGGTCACTTTTTATGTTTTATTATGTCATCCTTAATAGTAAAGGTAGGTAATTTCTAGGTATCTCTTACATTACCATTTGACACTAGTTGTTGGATCTCAGGGTGAATATTTGATCAGCAATGAGGTACCCATGGACTTAGAGAAGGGGTGGCTGTTAGGAAAGAGGAGATTAAAAACTAGGAGTCTCAAGCTTGGCATTTGGGCTAAGTCTTCGAGTAAGCCGTTTTATTAATAACAATATTCTTAAAGTTAAGTACACTCTTAAAGGATAAGGAAAATAAGTAGTTAATATCTACGACTGCTAGAGTTATTCACTTTCCCTTCCATCTTTGTTTTTAGTGTGTGGTATCTAAGAGATGTGGCATAACTTTCGTTTTATCGATGTAGGTAAAGAAGCAAAGCTATAGTATCAGGATCGTAGGTATGTATTAAAGGTAAGATTGTAACGGGTAAATAAATGCATACGAATATAGTGTCTTTAACAAAAAGTTGATCAGATTCTCTAGCAATAGATCTAGCTATGGGGTAATAAAATTTGGATAGCGAAAGACTGAAAGAACTAGTTTTTGGTTTTACGATCTTATAAGAGGAAGGTTTTTTCAAATGATAGTATGCTATGAGGGATAAAAAGACTTCACTTTTTCTATCTTGAATAAAAGATGAGTTGAGATATTAGATAAGATGCATTAAGTAAGTAAAGGAGTATAGAGATATATGAGACTCAAAGAGTATTCATTTTTTTTAACAAAATTATTTTTTTGATGATTTAATCATTTAAATTATTGACTACATCGTAACGAGTACATTATGATACATTTTTTTTTTTTTATCACACTTGGAGCTGCAAGCTCACAAACGGTTGATTTTCACATCGCAGCTGAATTACCACAGTGTTTCTGGAACAATCGTAGTGAGAAGCAAGTTTAAAAGAGTTTGTTACCTAAGATGTGGTAAATAATAACTTTAAGTCATTTAAGTATTTTTGGTCCAATAGTTTGATATTCGTATTACTAAAATAATTCAAGATAACTGCAAAATGATTTTGCATTCTCCCCACATTTTTTAACTTAAGCTTAACCCTTTTGGGATCTCATTCTTGGTGGAAGAATCAATGGTTTAAGCACTTGTTTGTAAAAATTATAGTATAGTCCAATAAAGACTTTTTTGTGCGCGATTCATTTAAAGCAAACGTAGACGTTAAAATATTTAAAGTGAAATAAGACGAAGGATCAGTGTTTCCGTCTTCGAGTGATTTGAAATTTCAGTTTTGAAAAAACACATCTTTTTGACGTATCTTAACAATGGCTGCTGTTGTAAATCTTAAGCTGGATTAAAATTTCGTTGTTATGGTGACCACTGTAACACATAACTCTTGCAGTGATAAAATGCAATATTTACGACAGGTTGGGTTGGTGTCAACGTTTTCAAATAGGATCAGGTAGTAGAGTATGTAAAAATTAGTGTTTATCAGATCTTTTTTTCTATCCTCCTCTCTGTTTCTCTCTCTCTCTCTCTCTCTCTCTCTCTTGTTGTGTATTAAAACTACAGAAGAGCTCTACTGTACTCCTTAACTAACAGCAAAGCTCTCAAGTTTTATTAATAGTAGTTATCACATATCAATTTTTACGTCAATGTTGTTAAACAGTTGGAAGTTACTCTGGAAATAAAGTGTATATGGCTTTTTTTGGAGTCAAAGCATTATTGTGTCAACTTCTTGAAAAAATTGTTAAACGCTGTATGAATATCAAGGGATATCATTATCAATTGCTTTTTCTTATAGAATTTTTCTTAATCATAGGATAAAAGAAAAAAAGATGCAAAGTCAGTGAGAAACTTGATACCAAAAAGGAGTCAGTTTCTGTCAGGCACTCGTAGGTATAAATTTATTTTCTTGTTTGAAAAGAAGCTAATATGATTATCATGGATTTAGTGATTGAAAAATTGCACTTTGTGGTATTGCAGTATGTTATGTAGGAACTCGTGCTGAATGACGTGATCAGATTGAAATATTTACCAGTTTATACTTATTATGTGCTACCGAATGCATTAGTACAAGAATTTAAAAATGTATTATAGAAGTTATTCGAAAGGATCGTTTCTAACAGTGAGACGAGTGTGTTCTATGAAATTTGTATAAAAAAAGTGGCACCGCAGAAGTAAATAAAAGTTTACACTAAAACTTACAAAAATTTATGTACTTAAGCTTTCATTGAACAGCTACAAATACATGAGTAAAACATTTTCATGATCCTTAATCAAAGTTGTTTTTACAGTTTTTATCTCCACATTTTATTTATTGTTACTAATATTACTAAATACAATAGCTGGGCCAAACAATTTCTTTTCCCTGCTATTGTTTTTACTTCATTACTAATGATTGGGAATATAAAAAAACGCCGAAAACGATGATAAAGCAACGTTAGGTTCATGATAATTGTTGAAAAAATTTGTAATCTCAGAGCAAATAGGGGTTCTTGAATTTCTCTAACCAATCTTTAATTATATAGTTAATGGTACATACAAAAGAAAGAGACTTTTTTTTATTTTGTTAGAACTGACTTAT